TCGGGTAGCTGCGCGGCTCCATGCGGCAGCCATACACAGATCTGGCAGCGAAGCGGTGGAGAATAAATATCCCACAATATCAAAGCGATGGCTGCGTTCCAGTCCGACCAGCACACAAGACTAGCGAGGGAAGACTAACCCCGAAGACTGCGGTCTCTGACAATTTAGGCCTGAGAGGCAGCGTGGTGGTATAGTAGCGTGCGCGGCAGGACCCCCGTGCAGACTTTGGTGAATACCCCTTTGAACAGCGGGCCGAACTTGCTTAATTGCGTCCATCGTCGATCGTCGTGGGTGTAATGCGGGCGAAACACCGAAAGAAGTCACACGAAAGTCGTGGCAAGCGGGCCCGATATCCTCGAGAAGTGCCTATGGCGAACAGCGTCATATACTTCCTTAACGGCTCCATCCTCGCACACACTGAAGGAATCCTGAACCTTGCACAGATCTCACACGTAATTTTTGTAGCTGAGGTGAAGCAGTCGGAAGATTTGGATGTGTCTGCGTCGTGGTTTGTCTCGCTAGCATCGTCATTGCTGTCAACGACTAGTGAGGTAACAAAAGCGCCAAAAGCGTCATTGGAACGTTGCATCATGCATTGAAAAAACGTTTTTAGAACTATATCCAATACAAGAACATTTGCTTCGAAATGATTGATCTGCTGGTTAGCTGCAAGAGCAAAGTGGCTTATACCGTGGGTTGAACAATGTCATATGCAGGAGTAACGCTGTTATGATTACCGAAATTTTAGAGCGGTGCCCAGGGATTATGGAACAGCCTGTATATGCTTTCTCGCGTCTACCCGGAAAGCTCACGTTACAGAGCACTGCAGCTTGAACAGGCCATATAAGGAATGGGTACCACTTCGGGTAAGTTGACAGTATCTGATGGCCTTGAACTGTTGAGTAATACAAGAGGAATAGGGCACAGAAATGTCGCACTTTCAGGAATGGTCCCGTTTATACAAATTAGAAGAGATGAAAATGGCTTGGCATATTCCGACTGAGAGGGGAAAAGCTGTTATTGAAGAGATTTTGAAGAAGTTCCTGTTTCCAGTCATGGACGAGATAATGGCTGCGCAAATGGACAGGTTAGTGTTCTCGAGATTCATAATAAGTCAACTCACATTTTGAATATGTCTATTACAATACTCTATTTGC